GGGAGGTGCTTTCATCAGTAGGGAGACAGATTCAACTGTAAACCACACCAAACTGCCCTTGCAAAAGAGCATTTAAAAAAGAGATGCAGTTCTGATTCCAGCTCATTTTGGCATAAAACACAAAGCCTATCTTCATCATTGAGAAAAAACAGCTTGTCTTTTGTGGGTATTGCCTCCCAGAAAACTTTCCAAATGAACATTTGGAACCTGAAAGGGATTCTCAAGGCCCATATGTTGTTCCAATTAACTGAATGAGAAGAAGATGAGAGATTATTCCTTGTGAAACACTGATATGCGGACTTAACAGAATATTTATGAGATCGAAAGTTCTTCCACAACACTTGGTCTTCTATTATAGGAGAAGCAATGTGTATTTTCAACACTTCCCTCACCACCTCAGCATCTAACACTTGGTCTAAAGATTGTCTATTCCATTCGCCACTTGAGCAAATTAGATCATTGACTTTGATATTCCTGTCTATGTTTATAAAAAGGGGGACGATGTTGCATATCCCCCATGAACAAATGGAATCCAAGGATCATGAAAAACACTAACATTTCTACCATCCTTTATTTGCTAAATGAAATCAAATTTCAACTTTTTGGCTATGGCCAAAATCTGTTTCCACCATAAAGAATCATTTTGCTTTGGTTGCATGGTGAAAATGGAGCCTTTCTGCAAATATTTCTCCTTTATAACCCTTACCCACAATCTCTTAGGCTTTATTAGAAACCTCCATATTTGTTTTGATAACAAAGGCTCATTCATCTCACTTAACTTTCTAAATCCAAGTCCTCCTTCCTTCTTTTATCTGCTCATTTTCTCCCAATTTAGTGTGTGTAAAGTTTTGTTATTAAAGCTTCCTTTCCACCAAAAGAATCTTTGAAGCTTTTCCATTTCAAAAGTAATCTTTTTGGGAAGGATAATAGAAGACATCGATTATATGGAGAGAGATTGGGTTATTGACTTGATCATTGTAGTCCTGCCCCCTTGTGAAAGAAGAGATGCTTTCCATAGAGACATTCTTTGCTTAACTTTGTCCAGCAAGTCTTTGTATGCCTCAATTTTGCTTCTTCCTATCCACAATCTTGTGCTTAAATATTTATCACTCATGCACATTTGTTTCATACCCAACATTTGAGTGATGAATCTTCGCTTCCTTCTATGTATGTTGCTATTGAATAAGATTGAATTCTTTTGTAAGTTCACTTTCTCTCCTAAGAATTTTTCAAACTTGGTTATAATCTCTTGCAGGTATTGTAACATTTTTACTTCAGCCCTACAAAAAATTAGACAATCATATGCAAAGAGCAGATGAGTTATTTGGGGGGCATGTCTTGTAATCTTAATTCCCTTTAAAGTGTCTTGGTTTTCTGTTTGAAATAAAAGAGAGGATAGGACTTGCATAGCCAAGATAAAGAGACATGGTGGCAAAGGGTCACCCTGTCTAATGCCTGCCTTGAATTGGAATAAATCTAAGACAACTCCATTCACCTTAACCGAGAAAGAAGGAGAGAAGATGCATTGTTGTACTAGTTTACACTAGTGTTGAAGAACTTTTATAATGAAATGTCTATTCAGCCTATCATAGGCATTTGACATATCCAGTTTAATGGCTACCCATCCAACTCCTTTCTTATGCCTTTTCATTTTGGTAATCAACTCATGAGCCAAGATAATATTATCTAGGCCTTGTCTACCCTCATGAAACTAAGAGAGAGCAAGTCTCACTTGTTGCAAAGAAATGCCAATGTGAGGTAGGATTTACCAACCCGTTGACCTCATGGTGGTACTTAATCTTGCAAGGTCGTCAACTTTGCGGATAAGGGTGTCAATGGACCAGTTTTGGACTGATCCCATCTAATCCAAAATCAATTTGGGCATATTGGACGGACCAACAAGATATATTGGATTGGATCAATCTGATCCAAAATATTTATTAGGTTGGTTGGACTTCGTCCATTCGTAATAAATTTATATTGGATTGGGTTGAATTAATCCAATATCTGGTCCATTGATATAAGATAAGAATATAGGTGTCAATGGACCAGATTTGAGTTGAAACCAATCTAAATTAAAACAAATTTGAACAGATTGGACGGTCCAAACATTGAATTGGACCAATCTAAAATGGTCCAGAATATTCATTGGATTGGATTGGGCCTGGTCCATTTGTAATGGACTCACATTAGACTGGATCAGATTGGACCAAATCCAGTCCAATTGACACCCCTACTTGCGGAGGCACTTGACCTCATGAGATTGACCTCGTGAAGCCATCATAAAGGTATAAGGTCGAAACTGAATTTAAAGACTAAGTAATCCAATCCAATGACTTAGTAATTCACATTTGACCTCGCAAGGCTCAATGACCCAAGAACACGACCTCATGAACCAATCAGACCTCGCGAGGCTAGAATAAAGCCTTAGAATTCAAGATGTTCTTCTAAGACTATCAAACACATGATTGTTGGCTAGGGAAGCCATGTTCAATTATACCTAGTAACCATACTCTAACAACCTTGTGGTCATCAGGGGTATGTGTCCTTAAGGCTATGTTTGGTTTGAAGGAAAATATAGGAAAAGGAAGGGAAAGCTATACAAAGTTTATAAAGGTTTCCCTACGTTTTTCTTCCTTTCTCTACCTTTTTCTTCAAATTTAAAGCAGCCTAAGGGAGAGAAAGATGGAATCCGTTTCTTTAATGTTTGTCGGAACTAACAATATCCTAGTCTTGGCACAATGGCACCTCCATGCACGTAGCTTGCTTCCTAGCTAGGTTCTATAAATAGGTAAGCAAGTAAAGCATTGGGGGCATTCTTCAATCTTTCCTTAGCTAATTTTCTACAATCCCTAAGTATTCGAGTTTTCTCTCAAACTTTTTCCCAAATCTCTCACCGACTTATTTCACTACCCTCCGACTCTGAGGCATTTCTTGATCTGCTTTGAGACTCACAAACCACCCTTATCCCTATTGGCTATCTATCTATTTATCTACCTATATATATATATATATATATACACTAATCTTTATCTCTCTCTATGTCATCAACAATTAATACTATCTATCTAGAGAGAGATAAAGATTAGTGTACGATGTTTGTTGATGACATAGTATTAATTGTTGAAGTAGCAAAAGATTAAATTAAATGAAAAATTAAGTTTGTGGACAGCTGCATTAAAAAGGAGTGGTTTTAAATATATAGGACTAAAACCAAATGTATACAATGTAAATTTAATAAGATTGCAAACCAATGTTTGTATAAGATTAGAGACCAAGAGGTAACAAGATGTGCTCTCTTTCCATCACCTTGGTTCAATAATTCATAACAAAGGATAAAATGAGAAGGATGTTGCCCACATAATTAGGGCAAGATGGGAAAAATAGAATTTTGACTAAAACTAAAATTCTATAAAATAGTTATAAGGCTAACTATGTAGTACTTATATAAAAAGTAAATTTGGCAAAAATGCAAATGCTTAGATGGATGAGTGGTAAATCTAGAAAGGACAGTGTTACAAGTGAAGCCATAGGAAGGAATTTAAGAGTAGCTCTAACAAGTGATAAAATGAGAGAAAGTTGATTGAGATGACCTGTTCACATGCATAGAAGACTATCTATGACCCTGATAGAAAAAGCGCCAATTCATAGGTGTTATAAGAGATACGGATAGACTAAAATGGACTTGGGTGGAAGTGACGAAAATGATTTAAACGCCCATAATTTAGGGGATGTTTGGAACTGTGGCCGTTTTTCAAAAAAACGGTGCCACGTCGGATCCACATAGGCATTTCAACAAACGCTCATGTATCTCATTGTTTGGTTCAGCTGATTATTAAAAAATCGGGCATGCCTCGAAAATCAAGACCCCACGATGAACCGTTTCCTCCAATGGTTGACTGATGTGTATCCTATGTGGTGCTTACCTATTAGCACATACATGAAAAACAGTGATGAAAATCACCTTACCAAACAACATAGTGTTTGTTCACCACCTACGTGGCAGAAGTGTTTTTTCTTTTTGTGAAAACGGGTCTTGGAAGCATGGACGTTTTTTCTTGAAAATCGGTCCCAAAAAGCACCCACACTTCCTTAATAATGAATATGATGATAAACAAAACAGAATAGAAAAACAGGATTCATGTAACTGACCCCATATAGTTGGGACAAGGCTTAGATGATAATGGTTTCAATAGTCAAAATCTAATAACAAAAAAGATGCTGATCACGGTGAAGGTTGTCTTTTCCCTATGTAACTTTTGTAATTCAGCATAGTTACAAAAGTTATTTAGTCTATGTTTGGTTTGAAAGAAAAGGTTGGGAAAGGTAGGGGAACTTTTCCCTACTTTTTCTTTCAAACCAAATGCAGCCTTAAAAGTTTGACTAGACTTAGGGGTGGCCACGAGTCAAGCTTCTCACGAGCTATTCAAGCTTGGCTCATGAAAAGCTCGGCTCAACTCGGTTTACACCAAGCTTTAAGTCGAGTTCGAGCCTAGTATAATGAATAAATAGTTTTTTATTATATATATACATACATACATGCATACATATATATATATACATATAAATATATAAAATAAATAATTTTTATTATATATAATAATATTTTTATTTTTTATGTATAATAGTAAATAATTTTTATAATTCTTATTTTGTTATATGTAAAATAAAAAAATATTTTTATATGTATAATTTTTATTTTTTAGAAAAAACTTAACTTATAATCGAGTTCAAGCCAACCAAGCTCAAACTTGCGAGCTTTGAACCAAGCCGTGCTCAAGTTCAAGTCTCCAGCTCGAATCGAGCTCGAGCCTAAGAGGCTAAGACTATTTTAGTGAGACGAGCTTGAACAGCCAAATATTTGGCTCGAATCCACCCCTACCTAGACCCTATCTCTAGCATGAAAAACATCCTAAAGCCACCAGGTGCACAAACCATAATATTTCATAGTACTACATTCTATTTCTTGTCTTTTTTTTTTTTTCTGGTGAGAATTAAAATATTACACAATAACAAATAGCTATGAATTTCATTTCTTGCTGTTGAGTTTGCAAAAGATAAACCCTAGTACTTTGTTCATTGGACCTAGCCACCTGAAAGCACCATTTCCAATAATTTAACACCTGATATCTATTATCATCTTAAATGAGGTTCTTTCTGTTGCCGAACTTCATGGATTGAAGGCCCACTTGGTAACAAAGGATTTGAAACAATACAGCGAACCGGAAAAGGGGGCGGAGGACTCTTCTTCAATGATCTTCTCAAGGTATATACAGATTAAATCATCAAGAACAATTTTTGTATTGCGGAGTATGGCAACAGCTGAAGAGAGAGTGATTCTTCGTTCCATTTTGAAGAATATGACTGCAGAAGAACCAAAAGAGTGAAGAGTTTAATGTTATGAACAATCTTTCCTTCTCTTCTCCCTCCCCCTCCCCCCTTGCTTTCCTTGTATAATCTTCTAGAAATTATCAGAGTTCCTTCCATATCTTGCCAGTGACCCTCAGCTTCAATTCCCTTCTATCACCTCCAGAGAAATATAATGCTAAGCTCCTCTGTATTATGAGTCCATCATGGCTATCACGAACACTCTGGTGAGGGGTCCTGATGCTCCTAGGCACCCCTTGCCATGTCAGCTTCCGACCATTGCCACCAACCTCAAGACAGTAACCAAACTTTCTCGCTTCAGACTCCTCACCCATGAAGCGCATGAAGGCCATGTAAACTGGCTCTGTACCCAGGCAAAATGCTTCAAAGTGGAGGCAGAAGTATTGATTGAAGCAATAGAAAAGCTGCTCCAAGAAAGGGAAAAAAACAATGGAATCAGAAAGTGCATGTCAAAATAGGAAAGACAAAGATTGACATTACTTAGCCCAGGCAGTAGAAATTGAGAATAATTTCATAGGGGTATTTTAGTTTATCATTAATCTAATGGAAAGTTGGCCATGGGGAATAAGGGGGCATTCTTTTTTGGGATTTTGAGAGGGGGGAAAGTTGGTTAATGGGATTTTGGTTCCCATTGACCAAGAATCCCATATTCTTTTTTCAGATTTATGTGGGGATCAGGGAAAGTTTATTTTCCTGGGTATCACTTACCCAAGTAAGTGATATCCATCTCCTAGGTGGGTAAATAACTTTTCGCGTAGGGGGAAGGTTGCCAACACTTGAATGGAACAAAAATGCCCCTTTTAATAATAGATTTTTATGGATAAAATGGTCATTGCCTTGTTTACCTAGAAAATAAAAGAACATGGGTAAATGCACTTACCCGGGTAAGTATTTCCCAGGAAAAACTTACCCAGGTAATTGCATTTACCCGGGTAAGTAACTTGCCGAAAAGCGAACGGAGCCTAAGATTCATTACAACTCAACAGTGTCCCAGACAACAACAGTTCGTCCTATTTGGTCTGTCTGTTTCTTTCTAGAAGAAAAGGCCCAGGGTGAGGGCGGGGGGGAGGAAGAACTTTGACTCACCCTCCTACTTCAATTCACTGGAAGCATTTGTCTATAAAGTAAAACAGTTAAAACAGATCAATGATTTTTTTCCAAAACATGCCTTTTAGCTTATTAGTCAATCTGACCAGACAATCTACGTTTCAGAAGCTTGCCTTTTAACTGAGCCAAGGTAATAAATAGGGTCAACCTACCCCGAAAAGAGTTCATCTTTACTTTGTTTTTTAACCCCCTGCCCCCTTGAAAATGAGTTATTGAATTTTTATGTACCTGTTTCTGATATTCTTATCATAAATAAATCTGGATAAATGCATGTTTAGAAAGATAATTAGATAAAAAACAGTTTCTGAACTTACAGTGAGTGTCCAAGATACATTGTCCACAGAGCATGGATCCTGTTTCACATAACGGTGATTGAAGGTGAATCCTGTCTGAAGATCCACCTTGTGAATCTCCCTAAGATGGGCCAACAAAGTTGGAATATCCCCTGTAATAGAGCAATCTGAACCGGGGTGGGGACAGGTATATGGCCGAAAGACACACTGAGTCTCATGCTTTACCTTGCTGTAATAAGGGAGCATCTCCTTGCAACCAAGCTGGTTATATGTGCATGGAAAGGGAAAGGAAAGTGCAAACTTTTCAAGAACCAAACATCTTATATTTCCAAGTTCCTTTTTGCAAACAGGGCATTTGTTGTTGACTTTAGATTTGCACTCCACACAGAGGGTATGGCCACTAGGACACTGCATCAATAGGAAAAGAAAATAATAAGCAAAAACAAAATCAAGAAGAAAGATTTAAGTACCAAGTCCTCAATGCCGACTCCATAGAATTACAAGAAACAAAGTGCCATTGTGAATCACATGATAATAACACTGTTATATTTTTAAGAAAGAAATATAAGACAGAGCTAACACTTGTTAATGGAATACTTGGTAATGACAGAAGGCAGAAAATATCTCTGCAATGCATATAGAAGTAGGTTGAAACCCAATAAAAGAATATAAACGAATTTAATTATTTTTTGCACCTCCTTTTGCAGAACTTGAGAGTATAAAAATGATGTTTATAGGTAGAAAATATGGAGATGGGAGAAAAGGAACAATAACAAATTCAATAAAAGCCAGTACATAATGAAGGAAGCCAAACCTGCTGAATAGGTGGATATAGAGGTTTACTACAAACAGGACACTCCATTATTCTGTCTATATTGTTGTTTGGAAGAAGAGGGATATTTCTTCCATGTGGTATTTTTAGGTGGGCCTGCTCATTTGGCCGTGCAGAAGTAGAATCAGCATCCTTCATCAGTGAACTAAGATTGTCCATTAGTGTAGATAAAGTAAAAGAAGAAAGTCCAGTGGTCAGTTCTTTTTCAGTTTAACAAAGTTGATATGATGAGCAATAGGCCTTCTTTTTCATCTATGCCTTTATATGCCTTAAACCACTCATTCAATAAAATCAAACACCCTAAAACTGCAACTGCAACTGCAACTGCATCTGCATCAAAACATAAATCATTTGATAATTAGATATTCACAATAAGTACAAGTAACAAACTATGCAAAAGATTTTCTGCAAAATACACAAAATTCTCTTTTTCTAACCATCTCCACTTGTCCAGAAGAGAACATGAAAGCAAAACAACAATAACACATGCAACAAAGGTTGATATATTTAGACCAATGATGAATTGAAAAAAGAAATTGTTCAAGTGAAATTACACTTTGTAACTACAGGAATTTCCATCTGTGAGTTGAATATGAGAAAAGATCAACAGACACAATACCCACCATTAAAAGACATGAATTTTATCATCATAAGACAGAAAGTCCATGTTTTGTTTCCCATTAAATCATCAATTGTTTAAACGGCTGTATTAAGAAGCAAATCCTAGTTCTTTTTCATGGGGGTGGATAGAAATAGAAAATGTTCATGTAAATACGGAGATGGGATTTAGGTTATTATTCTTTCATTTGAGTGATAAAATAGAACCAAAAGAATATGACTTTCCATAGCCATCAGAGATACTGAACAGTTTGCACTGGAAGTATGTATAAAGCAAATGGACAAATATGGGAGTCTATAAATTTTTTATGTAAAATACACAAAATCTTAGAATTATTAGGATTTATTAAGTGTTCCTATGATAGTGACAATTCTGTAAATTTTCTTGGTTCTAGTACGATTGATCCCCCTATGATATCTATACTCATGTACTAACTTCTAAGTGAAAAAAGAGGAGGGATGAATGAATTTAATGTATTTGAGTTCTTATAGCTTATGCTAAGAGTGGGGAGTGGTTCCAAAACCCTAGAGTGATTCTAGGTCCTCCATTGAGTGATTTTGGGTTTTCTCTCTAACCCAAGCCCTTACCAACTCAGTAATCCCCTACAACTATCTATTCCAAACTATATACAAAGTTTTCATTGAAAAAATTCCAATCCTAGACCTATTTTCCTTAATCAAAACTTTTCATAGTTCTAGGACAAACTTGCAATTCTTGCAATTAAACCTTAAAAGGTTCCTAATCCAACCAACTTCTAAACTTAGTTCTAAAAATCCTCCATAGCTCTTATTCTAGATAATTAACACCTTCCTATATTCACTCTCGGGTCATAGACAAGTTATATCATTTGGTATTAAAGCAATTGATCCTACATCAAAGTGCATGGACACAAGGTCATGATATACACCAAACTGTTGCCAAATAAATCTTTGAACATTAGGTAAAAAGAAATAAAATAAGCGAATGGATCTTTTTTTATTTCTGCTACAGTAACACAGAGTTATATTATATTAAGGGTAAAAGACATAAACCTCCCTTGAGGTTTCTGGTAAATACTGAAAATTCCTATCTCTTTTCAAAAAGGATTAAGGCATCCCTTGTTGGGTGACTTCATTGGACGAAGGCCCCCCCTCCATCAGCAATCTGTCAAGATCCATTTACACTTGATGTCATGTGTGGGTAATTTTTTTTGAAAACCCCGAATTTGCCCCTTACCCAGAACTGAAACCCCAAACGTAATTCAGCCATCTCTCTATGCCTGATGAATAGCACCTGATTCATCATCCACAAATTTGATTTCATTGATCAGGGTCGACCAAATTCAGATTGCAACACACTTTTACCCCGGAAATCTGCAGAAATAGACAGATCAATATCAATTATACCATGGTCATGATGGAGAATACATCATGGGAGAATGGTGCAGCACCATCTTTTGTATCAATCGAAGATATTGTAAGGCCATCTGTGTTGAGGATTGCAACTGCCTTGCTGCATCATATGACATTGGAAACTGCATAATACAGAGTTTCTCATTAAAATATGTTAGAAAGAAACCATTTTCCACTACCTTGATCAAAGTAGGCAACCAAAGCCCAGGGAGCAGAAACCATCCCTCAGCTCCAACTCTGAGACAAAGGAAATATAACTGTCCCTGGCTGCTGGATAAGGTTCTGCTTTCATCAAAGTAGGCAGCTAAAACCATTTGCTACAATGGAAACTGCACAATATGACTGCCCCTGGCCGCTGGATAAAGCTCCCTTAAAGACTATGCCACAAGATCCCTTCCCCAGCTCTTCCATGAAACCTGCTATCATATTCTCAAGCTCAACATAACTAAATGATCATAGAGCAATTCCCTAGTCAATCCTCTATTCTACTGATCCAACATCTTTCTATATGCCCAAGTACAATGTGGACGGGATGGCTCTATGGATAAATGAGGCGGAAGACAGGCTTGTAAATGCAGCAGAGGTGGTTTTTTTGAAAATTTAATAATAATATAACAACATCTTAATCCAAGAGGGGAGACTTAAGTATTCTACCCTTATATAAACAGCTAGAAGTAAAATATACAAAAGAGATCAGCCTATCGAATCCTAATCTTTACAATATCCACCCAAAACTTAGGAAGAGTATCCATCATGTTATTAGCTTCTCCTGGAACTGTTTTCTTCTCTTCTCCCTTTGATAAAGAAACAATTATCAAGCAGAAAAGAGGAAAAAAAGGAAACCAAACAAAATCACTCCCAAGACCAACCAAGTTCCACACTTAACAGAAGGCCAGAACCTGAACTGACCACTTGCACAGGACAAGCATCAGAGGTGTAGGCATCCAAAGATCCGCTTCAATCCAACAAACCAGACAACTCTGCCTCATACACAATGCACCTTTACAAAGTAATCCCAGGTCCATAGTTGTCAAGGCGACAAGGCACCCTTTGAGGCTCGCCTCGCCTAATCGCCTAACAGTTTTCTACTTCCTACTATAAAATACTTTTTTATTCATTCTTTTTTGAGATTATAATTATAAAATAGACATTATTAAACTAAAATAATCATTTTGT